TGGGTGTTTGCTGTTGTTATGGCCTGAGGCCTTGCCTAATAAAGGACATTGTTATTTAATACTGTCTCGCCTCTTCTCACCTCGCTTCAAACAAAGCACCATGGCAACTCAACTGTGCTGTACAATAGAAGCCATTTTAAGGCAGTACAGTAGCAGCCATTTTAAGGCACAACAGGCTGTATCTTAACAGAACACACACCCCGAGGGGCGTTAGGGGTGTTTTACCCCCACAGTATTTGTTTCCAGAGAGTAAGTCATCTGTGTACCAAGTTTGGTTGAAATTTCTCGAGGCACTCCAGAGTTATGCTGGAACACACACACACACACACACACACACACACACACACACACACACACAGCCATTTTAATATAGATAGATTTCCCCCTCCCAACCAACCCCTCCCACATTCATCTGTCCTTTCAGGATTGGCTGGCTTTTGAGTCCATCTCTTTCAGAGGTTTTCTGAAAGATGTGATTTCTGTCAGTTTTTAAAATGACTTTGTATGAGAAATATAGATGTAGAAGATGGGATAATATGTTTCCATATAATCTAGATTTCACTTTACCCAGGCTGGATGTGTTACCCACAGCAGTCCTTTTTGGAGGTTTTAAACATACTTCTGTTTTTCCAATTTTGTCCATGTGATAATGGCTCAACAAACTCTAGGCCATTTGTTACTGTACTGCTCCTTTCAGTCTATTTAATGTTACTTCTTTCAGACAAGGACTCAAAAGTATCCCTCCAAGTCGCCCAGTTTTGTACCACCATCTGTTGAATACATCACACAATTAATTAAATTTGGATATACTTTTATAATACATATGCATATTTATATAATGAAATGAAATCTACATTATATTAATCATATTATTGCATTGCATTGCATTGCATTTTCTGTTCTGTCCTGTCTGACTCTTGAATACTGCCTAGGCAAGTCCAGCAATTTTCTTGTCAAAGTTTTTCAGAAGTGGTTTACCATTGCCTCCTTCTGGGGTTGAGATAAGGTGCTACCCTAAATTTACCCAGCTGATTTATGGGATTAGAACCATAATCTTCTGATTTCTAGCTTGATGTCTTAACCACTATATCAGGATGGCTCTCTCTATATTTTTAGATCTATCTATCTATCTATCTATCTATCTATCTATCTATCTATCTATCTATCTCTACATACACACATTCCATATTGCTTTGATTTTTTATTATACATATAGAGGTATACAACAGTTTAATTTGGCCTTAGACTGTAATAAATTGATTTCAATATAACCCAGATTTAATCATATTTTAAAAACATATACAGGTGAAACTCGAAAAGTTAGAATATCATGCATAAATTCATTTATTTCGGTAATGCAACTTAAAAGGTGAAACTAATGTCATAATTTTGATGATTATGGCTTACAGCTCATGAAACCCCAAATTCACAATCTCAGAAAATTAGAATATTGTGAAAAGGTTCATTATTCTAGGCTCAAAGTATCCCAAAGTGTCTAATCAGCTAAGTAAGCCATAACACCTGCAAAGGGTTCCTGAGCCTTTAAATGGTCTCTCAGTCTGGTTCAGTAGGAATCACAATCATGGGAAAGACTGCTGACCTGACAGTTGTGCAGAAAACCATCATTGACACCCTCCATAAGGAGGGAAAGCCTCAAAAGGTAATTGCAAAAGATGAGTCCCAAAGTGCTGTATCAAAGCACATTAATAGAAAGTTATGTGGAAGGGGAAAGTGTGGAAGAAAAAGGTGCACAAGCAGCAGGGATGACCGCAGCCTGGAGAGGATTATCAGGAAAAGGCCATTCAAAAGTATTGGGGACTTTCACAAGGATGGACTGAGGCTGGAGTCAGTGCATCAAGAGCCACCACACACAGACGGAGCCTAGACATGGGCTTCAAATGTCGAATTCCTTTTGTCAAGTCGCTCCTGAACAATAAACTATGTCAGAAACGTCTTACCTGGGCTAAAGAAAAAAAGAACTGGTCTGTTGCTCAGTAGTCCAAAGTCCTCTTTTCTGATGAGAGCAACTTTTGCATCTCATTTGGAAACCAAGGACCCAGAGTCTGGAGGAAGAATGGAGAGGCACACACTGCAAGATGCTTGAAGTCCAGTGTGAAGTTTCCACAGTCTGTGTTGATTTGGGGAGCCATGTCATCTGCTGGTGTTGGTCCACTGTGCTTCATTAAGTCCAGGGTCAACACAGCCGTCTACCAGGAGATTTTGGAGCACTTCATGCTTCCTTCCGCAGACGAGCTTTTTGGGGATGCTGACTTCATTTTCCAGCAGGACTTGGCACTTGCCCACACTGCCAAAAGTACCAAAACCTGGTTTAATGACCATGGGATTACTGTGCTTGATTGGCCAGCAAACTCGCCTGACCTGAACCCCATAGAGAATCTATGGGGCATTGCCAAGAGAAAGAAGAGAGACATGAGACCGAACAATGCAGAAGAGCTGAAGGCCGCTATTGAAGCATCCTGGTCTTCCATAACACCTCAGCAGTGCCACAGGCTGATAGCATCCATGTCACGCCGCATTGAGGTAGTAATTGATGCAAAAGGGGCCCAAACCAAGTACTGAGTACATATGCATGCTTATACTTTTCAGAGGTCCGATATTGTTCTATATACAATCCTTGTTTTATTGATTTTATGTAATATTCTAATTTTCTGAGATTGTGAATTTGGGGTTTTCATGAGCTGTAAGCCATAATCATCAAAATTATGACAAATCAAGGCTTGAACTATCTCGCTTTGAATGTAATGAGTTTATCTCATATATTAGTTTCACTTTTTAAGCTGCATTACTGAAATAAATGAACTTTTGCACAATATTCTAATTTTTCGAGTTTCACCTGTATTTGTATTTTATTATATGGATTTGTATTTTTAGAAGTTTTAATACACATACACACACACAAACAACAGCATACAATTACTGCTATATTTTGTTTGTTTATTTCATTAATAATTATCTTTAAATGGAGGGAGATTTTCTGAGAGCTTGGGAAATGCAATGCACTTGTTTCTTGCACTTGTTTCTTATGTTTAATGTGCAACTTCTGTACATGTTCGCCCAGTAGAGATTTCCTCATGTTTCACCCACTAGCAGAGGAACAAACTATATTTTATTGCAGACTTTAGCTTTGCACTTTTAAAGAAAATTGGTTTAGCTGCTCAATGTCCTCAAGAAATAAAATATGAAATAACAGAAAATGAAATAGCAGCACAATACAAATTCCAAAAATTCAATTCCATTTCCAAAACTTTCCCAACCAACTTCACAATTTCTCTAAAAAAAGTAATAAATCTGAATTTCCCTGATTATATATGCAACTTGTACCTATATTTTATATTATTCAACTCCTAGCCTCTGGCCTCAGGAAGCCATGTTTCCCTGCCATGGGTTTATAATGACTCAGACTGCAGCATTCAGCCATTATTAAAATTACTGTGAAAAGTGTCTGGTTGTAAAAATGCCATCATATTATCTTTTGGGTATTACAGTCAACAGAAGTGTTTTAATATAAACAGAAAAAAATGGCCTATTTTCCAATAATGTTTCCTTCCTTTCTTCCTTCCTTTCTTCAACATACATGTAATTGAATGTATGTTTGTGTACACATTGAAGGAGCAACGGGATTTTTGTTACTCCAGATCTGACCGCTCAGGGGCAGAATATTCTTTGATTCCCACTTTTAAAACTCTGTTATTGGTTGGATTCAGGAGTAATTCATTGAAATATGATTTTCTGTCTGTCTTACTATTTTGAATTCAGCTCATGTGAAAACCATCAAATGTTAGCTTTCAAGTGATTTCTGAGAATAAAGTGAGATGAAAACTGTGCCCTCTGGAAGTTGTCAGACAAGGTTCACTTTCTTCATTGAAAAGTTGATCCTTCAATAACTAAAAGTTATGCTTTCGTTCCAGGACTGCTTCCATATTCTTTTATTTCTTCCTGCTATTTCAGTTCTTAAAAACATGAGAACCATGGGTTTCCTTTCTTTAGAATATTTTAGAAACTTATCTCTTTAGTCTGGTATTTAACTAAACTTGCACATCTTCCCTTTTCCTTCCTTCCTTCTTCCATTTTGTGGTTTTAAACTAAGATTACAAAAAGGCTTTTATATTCTTATGACATTAAATAATGTTTACTCTTACATCTTATTACAAATAAATATCTACCAATAAGGGCATAAATAATAAGCACCAGCGATTTGGTATTACTGCAAGCATACTCCATTCTAATACATTTGACTATTTATACTTTAGATCTCTCCATCAGTTTTGATTTAAGACAATTTATGAGCCATATTTGGTTTATATGAAAAAAAGAGATTCAATTTTCTTTTGACAATTTAATTAGCTTGAGCTTTTTTGCATGTTTGGAAACTATAGTTGTTAAGAGAAGGTCTTCACTCTGCTGTGACAAATACAAAGTTTATCTACCTTGATACTGCAGGGCTAGTAATTGATTCCAAAAGGTTAATTATGAGCAGCCTTGAAAATGGTTGATAGAAATGTAACACTGAACTGTGATTCATCTATTTATATAAAAACATGCAATGTGACTGTTAAATAAAACCACATTCATCATATACTATTAAGTTTCTCATGTTTGAGGTGGCACTGTGTTTAATGTAGTCAGAGAAGTTAAATGTACTTCTTTGTGTATATTAGCTAATTTCCATTTGCTTTTTACAAACTAAGATTTTTTAAAAAATTTCAACTAATGTTTTTCAAATAATAGTGGTTTTCTTTAATGATATCTTTAAATATATTTCTTCCAGTTTACATAGAACTGAATGGAAATTCTATTGCTTTGTCTTCTCCATCTACTGCAGGGGTGTCAAACTGGCGGCCGGAAGTGTCACGAGCAGGCCACATCCACCTCTGTTCCACAAAGGGGAAAAACGTCATGATACATCACATGACGGCAGTGTGACTCCGCAAGTTTGACACCTGTGATCTATTGGATCTAAAAATTCATTTCTTTTTCAGGTCATTAAGCTATGGTGCTATTGGAGTAATTGTTGGACATGAATTTACTCATGGATTTGATAATAATGGTGAGTTATTTAAATTCTTAAAATTTGGTAAAAAATGACTAATTTTGGAGCCCCCTCCTAATTTCTGTAGGAATAAAAATGATGAACCTAAATGCAAACCTCACATACTTTCTAAAGCAATATGGAGATGTAGTGTTTCTGATCTTTTAAGTGAAAATAGCTAATCATGCATTAAATTCTTGTTTATATTTATGTAAATTTTAAGATTTATGTAAATAATGAAGTGATTCTTTTAAAGGAAATGTTTCTGGGTTAAATTTTAAGAAATCTGTATGTTTATTTTATTTTATTAATGCTTTGTGGTTTTTTTTGAAAATGGAAATGCAGGTCGCAAATATGACAAGAATGGAAATTTGAATCCTTGGTGGTCCTTGCAGTCAGAAGAAAAATTCAAAGAGAAAACAAAATGCATGGTCAATCAGTACAATAGCTATTACTGGAAGAAAGCAGGGTTGAATGTAAGTTCAGGAGTTTTGGCTTAAACTGATTTGGATCAATCAAACTAAATCTGGAACAATCAGCAGTAATATATCATCCTGACATTTTGATATTTGGCTTTTTTGTATAGCTTGTAAATTTTTAAAAATCTTTTTAACTAGATATATTTAGCTTTTTCAATGATACATGATACTGAGAGATACATGATTTCATCTAGTGACAACTGGATACTGTGGCTGATGGCAAAGGTTTTAAAGACTTAGTTATTTTCCAATGCTTTTCCTCACTTTTTCCTTTAATTTCAAGGCAAAGAGGCAAGGAAGAGATGACGTGATGAGAAACCACCAGTGGTGGGATTCTATTTTTTTTACTACCGGTTCTGTGGGTGTGGCTTGGTGGGCGTGGTTAGGTGGTCATGTGACTCGGTGGGCATGGCCATTATCTGCATCTACATACTATAGATATACTTTCATGGACTACTGAAAGAAGAAAATGGCTCACATGCTTTGCCCAAGAGTGTGATAGGCTGGTCACAAAACAGGCTTTTGAGGGGCTGCCACAAAGAAGGAGGAGCAATACAGGGGTGAAATGCTCCTGGTTTGGTTCGGTTTGCCCAAACTGGTAGTAAAAAAAGGAACCAGTAGTAAAAAATGTAAAAAAAAAGTTCCGAAGATCGCGCATTGCTCAGCTGATCATCAGAATTTTGGTTTTTTAACTTTTTAGGGATTTTTAAGCATTTTTTTTTTAAATGCTTTAAAAAAGTAAAAAAAAGAGGCTCCGACGATCACAGCTGTGCCGCACAATCACCAGAGCCTTACAGCCCGAATAGGTTGTATATCCCAAATAGGTTGTAAAAAATGCTTTTAAAAGGTTAAAAAAAAAGGCACTGATGAGCGCAGCTGTGATCGTCAGAGCCTTTTTAAAAATGTTTTGCTTTTAAATGCTTTTAAAAGTAAAAAAAGGCTCCAAAGATTGCGCGCCACAGCTGATCACACTCCCCCGCGCGCTGTTCTACTTATCCCATGCTTCCTTTTGGCATGCACTGTGTGCGTGCGTGCATGCGCGCACACATACACACCTCACATTTGGTGCGTGGTGGGTATTGTGCATGCGCAGCCAGAGAACCAGTAGTTAACTGGTTCAGATTTCATCACTGGGGCAATATATTTTCCAAAGAAGCAGAATGCAAAACAAGAAGCAATAGATGGAAACTGAACAAAAAGAGAAGCAACCTATAACTAAGGAGAAACTTCCTGACAGTGAGGACAATTAACCAATGGAACTACTTGTCTCCAAATGTTCTGGGTGCTCAATCGCTAGAAATTTTAAAGAAAAGACTGGACAGCCATTTCTCTGAAATGGTAGAGCCCCCCCCCCCCAAAAAAAGTCCTTTCTAAGTGTATCTGACACTTTTCCCAGGCCCTCCACTCAGATTTTGACATCTTCAGTTTTCCTGCCTGAGCAGGGGGTTGGACGAGAGACCTCAGAAGTCCCTTTCAATTCTGTTATTCCATTATTCTTGAGAAACACAAACACACACACTTAATTTAAACAAATTCCCTTGTTTTAGAGACTTTAGAATCAGAAGATACCTTGGAGCAGTGGTGGGCTGCAAATTTTTTAACAACCAGTTCTGTGCCCTAATGACTGGGTGGTTGGGCATGGGCAGGGGACATGACAGCACTCAGCCTCCTGCAGCACTCTGCCAGCCAAAACAGGGCACGGGGGTTAATTACAAAATGGGGGCTTTGCTTTATGACATCCAGACCAGTGAGCAAGGGGTGTGAACTGCACAGAAAATACACTTTTGTTTGGTTATGAAGAAATATCCCCAAAGTCAGATGTAACTAAAGGTAGACTGACTTTTAGCTACACATCTTCCTAGCAAACAGCAAATTTTGAAGCTCCAGATAAAGAGGATTCATTTTAGGATGAGTAACCACAGTTTGCATGTTGGAGGTTCCTAAAAGAATGCTGGGAAACTCTGTATTTTAAAGAACATTTGAGGGAGAGGTACAGAATAGCCCTTCTCTGCCTGAGGCTGTTAGAGACCTGGCACCAATCAAAACACTGTTTGTGAAGCAACTGATCAACACTGACAGGGTGAAGCCACTAGTATATGAAAATAAGAGCAAACTCCACTCCCTTCTAGTACTGATGATGTTACTTAGTTTGGTAATGTAACATCTACAAGAAAACCATCAACCTCAGAGAGCATCAAGAACCCCACAGTTCAAACCTGAGCTACAAATATTATCTTCTATCGATAAACACTTTATGGTTAGAGGGACTCAGAGCCTGCCTTATATGAGATGGTTCCCAGTGGATTTCATTCTAAATTTTGATATGATTTGTAAATGACATGTAAATAATGTCATTAAGGACATGTAAATAAGGAATGTAGAATTGCTGAGTATTTGATCCTTCATACATCAAAAAAATGCAAAGCTAAGGGATAAACAAATAAAAAACAGATTTGAAAAAAGAAAAGGCTCAGGAAAGAAAGAGTGAAAGTGTAAGAAAAAAAGAGAAAAAGAAAAAGAAAAAGAAGGAAAATAAAAAAAGAATGACTTCCAAGTTTCTTTGGTACAGATATAAGTACAAAATATATCAAACTCTTACTCTAAGATTAACATTTGTCTACATTATTTCCATAATCCCATATCTAATCATCAAAGCACAGATCAACTTTTAATTTCAGTTTCTCACAAGCCCAGCAATGGTTCATATCACTTTAATTACTATTTGTTAAGGAAACAATAACTGATACACTTGAAGCATTGTGAAATACAATCTGATCAGAAACAAGAAATTTGACAAGCCTAATGTACTGTTGTCCCCAATTCGGGTATGACCCTGGTGCCAGAGCCAATGATGGACACCAGACACGAGGTGCAGGTTTTCTGATTGCTTTTTATTGGAGTACTCCAAGGAAAAGGCCTCCTGGCCAAAATGCCAAGAACCAAGAACAAAGGATTAAGTAAGCTTTATACATTTTAACTAAAAGAAAAGGCAGGACAAGGTGAGATAATAAGAAATATCATCTAATAAACAGTTTAGTAATAATTCTACAATTTGTTCTATTGGTCTGTAGCTGTCCCTATTCCTAAGCCTTGGCTAATGAATGCCCCAGGAGTTATCTAATACACATTTTATTGGCTGCAGGCCATCTGTATTCCTAATTGTTAGCAGAGATCTGCAAGTTGTCTAACTCTTGTTACTTTTACAAGATTTACACATGCATATTTCCTGTAGATAAGCATTCTTTGTTCTTGCCAGACACACTCCCCAATTACGGGCTTCCTGTGTGTTATGACCTAGCTTTATTTTAGCATAATCATAAGTTTATTTGCCAAGCTTATAAGATAACAGGTAAAAGTATAAACATAATTTGAATACATGAAAAGAGTAAGTAAAAAGAAATATTAGGACAGGGACAGTAGGCATGCTGGTGCACTAGGGGTGAAATGCTCCCCGTTCAGACCGGCTCAGGCAAGTAGGTAGCGATGGCGGCAGGCAATTTGGAGAACCAGTAGCAAAAATCCCTTCCCCCCCCCCCAGCCTCCAGTTTGCTTACCTTAGCTGCTGGTCGCAACGCTTGCTTCGCTTGCTGTAATCCCTGCAATCCATTGCATCAGCAAGCAACTGAATCTCCCTGCCTGCAATCAAGCTCATCGGTGAGCAGCTCTATCTGCCTGCCTGCCTTCCTGCCTGCCTTGTACCTTTGCTGGCTGAGGAATTCTGGGAGTTGAAGTCCACAAGTCTTAAAGTTGCCAAGGTTGGAGACCCCTGTTCTATTGGCTAAGTTTTTTTCCCCTTTGGGAGCTTTAAAAAAAAAAGTTAATTGGGGTTTTTTTTAGTTGTTCTTTTTTTAGACCTAGCCATTTAAAGTTTAGGAAGTTTTAAATTTAGCTGCTTTTATATAAAAATAAAATAAAATAAAATAATATTTGTGAAGCTTTCTGAGATTTAGCGTGTTTTTGTAGTGTTTCACTCTAGCTACACAAACACACAAAATCTCACAAACCTGTATGTAGAATTTTGTGTGTATAAAGTGTGAAAGTTGTTTTTTGGGGGCTTTTTGTGGCTGTGTGAGGTTCCTGCTTGTTGCAGGGGCCATTTTAGGTCTAGCACAGCTGCTTTTACATTGTGGATGAGCCAGTTGTGTTGTGTTGTGTTGTGTGTGTGTAAAGTGTGAAAGTTGATTTTTTGAGCTTTTTGTGCCTGTTTGAGGTTCCTGCTTGTTGCAGGGGCCATTTTGGGTCTAGCACAGCTGCTTTTACATTGTGCGTGAGCCAGTTGTGTTGTGTTGTGTGTGTGTAAAGTGTGAAAGTTGTTTTTTTTGGGCTTTTTGTGGCTGTGTGAGGTTCCTGCTTGTTGCAGGGTCTAGCACAGCTGCTTTTACATTATGGGTGAGCCAGTTGTGTTGTGTTGTGTTTTGTAGGTTGAAAAGGGGCAAAGAAGTGACATTGACTTGGCCACGCCCACCTGACCAACAAGCCATGCCCACCCAGTCACCTTACCACCAAACCATGCCCATTAATTAAGCCACGCCCACAGAACCAGTAGCGAAAATTTTTAGATTTCACCCCTGTGGTGCACTTATGCATGTCCCTTACAGACCTCTTAGGAATCAGGTGAGGTCAACGGTAGACAGTTTAAGGTTAAAGTTTTGGGGGTTTGGGGAAGAAACTACAAAGTCACGTAGTGCATTCCAGAGATTGACCACTCTGTTACTGAAGTCATATTTTCTGCAATCAAGTTTGGAGCAGTTTACCTTGAGTTTAGAAATGAGTACTCCAAGGTCCTTGACAGAGTGAGGGTCATCTACAAGATTATGTCCATCTAATTTGTATTTTATGTTTTGATTTTTTTGCCAATGTGCAAGACAGAGCATACAGCCCATCAGTACAATGCTTGACAGTAGCATTATAAAAAGATTTCCATGTAATGTTTAAACACTCAGACTTTTTAAATCTGGCAATCTTATGTCAAAAGTGGCTAAGGTTGCAAATCCGGG